ATCAACACAAGAGGTAGAGCTGATCTTGTCCTGGGCAGAACTTTTTTTCCAGATTTGTCAGCTGTGTATATTACAGGTATAAACAATTGGCAAGCAGGTTTTCTCAGTCAGCAGCACCTGGATCCGGGAGAATGGTCCCTGCACCTAGGACCTGTCCCAGAACCTGTCACAGGTGGAGGACTCCAGATGTAGACCTCCTGGCCTCCATGTTCAATGACAAACTGGACAGATATTTGTGTTCAGGTATCTCTGGCAGAAGCAGTGGATGCTCTGGTGGCTCCATGCAGTCAGTACATCCTGATCTATGCTTTTTCTCCCCTGCAACTTCTACCTCATATACTCAGCAAGACATTGCTAGATTTCTTAACCACTGTGGGACAGAAGTCCCACTCCTCTGTGTTATTGATCATGCTGTTGATGCTGCTTATTATAAAACAGGCATGCTGGTAGTGGGGAGGAGGAAGTGTTATACTGGGCTAGCCTTCAGTTTGTTTGCCAGTCCAATCCTCTTGTGGTGGCAGTATATCCCAAAGGTTAAAGACTTCCTTTTGTCCCTCAATGGACTTCAGGCAATTTTTTTTACAGTGAGTAGAGAAATCCTTTTACTGTTCATAATATGTAAGTACTTTAGTGTTTATAGTTTAGCTACAGGTGCAGCTCAAGTTTTGTCTGATTTATACATCTGCCTTTATTTATTAAAGAGGACCTGTACTGTAGAAAGTGTGCTCAAAAAAGGGAAGTATAAGACAAAAGCTAGATGCCAGTATTTCCTGTAGGCTCCCTGCAGCTGATCTTTTTTTTTCCTGCCTGACTTTCCATGTCTTGTTCACTGTGTCTGTGTGTGAAGTTGGCCACCTTGGTAAAGGGAACAGGGCTTTGCTTCCTCGTATCAAAGCTGCCCCCCGAATATTGGTAATAGGACTGGTGGAATAATGATTATGAAGAAGCAGGAGAGGTGCATAAAGCTTAGATTATGCATCTCAGTGCTTAATTTGAATGAATGAATGAAGCAGAGAGATGCTTTTTTTGCAATTCCTCCAGCACAGCTTTCTCTCCAGCGAGGAGAACAGTGGTCAGCAAAGTAGTCACATCACCACTGGCTATCATGAAACGATTTTTGACCCAAAGTATTCATTAAAGATACTTTACAGTTTTATTTAAACATTAAGCATTTATATGCATAATGTGAGCACATCTTTGCTTAGTGCTTTAGCTTTTTGTTCAAGCATTGCTATAGAACAGTGGTCCAATCTACTCCTATTAATCAGTAAGCTGGTGATGTGAGAATCCGTGATCTGGATGTGGGAGAGGAATTCTCACACACTCACTGCAGGGTCCTTGCTGTCTCTTGCGTTCATAGAAAACTTAATGTAAAAATGAATGCCAGCACTAGGAATTTTTCTCCGTCGCCAATTAGTTTCAGACCTGCCTTGGATTATTAAATATATTTTGTGATACAGGAAGCAGGGAGAGAGGCATTTACAGAGTACAGGCTTTAGGGTGTGCCCCCTTAGTGTAAAGTGCTTTCTAGATTCTGGGTGAAGGATTTATGTAAATTGAAAGAACATTATCATTTAAGCACATTTTGCTTTTTTTGGAATTGCCTGGAATTGCTCTTATCTTCCATTCCATTCTCCTGAGGTTCATAAAAGTTTTATGTATTAAAGTGCTAGAGAGAAAATAACACAATTTGTATCTGATATGGTTTAGAATACTGCCTTACCTGACAGTTCATGCAAACAATTTGGGATCTTAGTGCTGAATTGCAAAGACCAGTGTAGAAAAGTTCATATTGGGTGGATGTGTGTGAGCTGAATCACCCCTTGCCTATTTACTTCTTTGTCAAGAAACTCCAGCAATGAGATGTGCCTTCTATAGAATGCCTGTTGTGCCAGCTATTGCTTAGTTTGCTTTCAGGCTGAGTGAGGTTGTTGCGCTTATTTGTGCTTACACATTTTCTCACACTTAAGTAATTTTGTTATGAAATATTTTATATAAAATGACATGAAGACCTTATGACTTGGTTGTTCTCCATACTAATTAAAACATTCTACTCACAACCCAGGGCAATACAAAATTAGCATATGAATAAAATAAATAAAAGGATACATGTACTGATAATTGGCCAGCTTCCTGAGCCTCTATTGGTCAAAGAGGACACTACATAAAAAGACCAAGAATGAGTTTTAGCTGAAGGTTGCCCAAAAAAATAACTAGAAAATTTAGCCAAAACGACATCCCAGATATCTAGCTCCTGCTGAAGCCCACTTTCTTTGACATGCATTTTCCATCCTTTTTCACTTTCATACCTTACTTTTAATATGTGCACTTTCCTATCTGAGAATGTGTTTTATTAAGATACAATCCTAATAGGGTTGCACAGATACCAAGTACAGTACTCGGTACAAGTACGAGTACATGTACCGATACTTTTGAGCTCCAAGACTACACTGGAGAAAAATTCTAAAGTTAGGAGGCAGCTGTCATTTGTAAGGAGCACACGGAGCTCCTGGGATTTGTACATCTGTTTTAATGTACGATTTTGTTTTTATAAATAATGGGATGCACAGATACCAGTTTTGCGGGTACGAGTACTGGTATTTGCCGAGTACTTACAAGTACGAGTACTGATACATTTTTGTTTATTGTCATGTGACAGTTTTTCTAAAACAATACAGACTAATGATTTCAGGACAGTAGTGGAGTGCCAGAGCCAGGTCCAAGCTGCAACCCTGGTAGTTCTCATGATAATGCCAAGTATCTGCACTGGTACTCAAAGTATCTGTGCATCCCTAAATCCTAAGATAATGTCTTCCTTGTTAGTTCACTATATAGCTGTAATTCTTTGAACAGTTTCCTTCAGATATTCTGACCACATCTGTTTCTTTTGCTATGCAACATTTCACCTTAGGCATATGAAATTGTGTCTAAAGTGTTAAATTGTATACAAGTTCAATTCGCCCTATAGTTTACTGAAAAATATATTTTGGGAGGGCTTAGCCTTTAGCCCTTTCACTACCATGGACGTAAGGCATCCAGGCCGAGCAGAACCAATTGCAGTTGGCCAGGTCAGTATGCCTTACATCGGCTGCATTCACCCTTTTGCTATAAGCTGGTGGTTGATTCAGCATTTGCACAACTGTTGCTGGACCTATAAAATCACTAGCTCCGTTTTTTATATTCTACCAGTCCTTGCTTTCAGAAAATGTATGGTTTGGTGGGTCTTTTACAAACTCTAAGCTGCAGTTGAAATATTGTCTGGTCAGACAGAGCAGTCTGTCTAGAGCAGTCAGCCTCTGTAACGCACTATCGCATTCCGGTCGGCTTCCTGTGTTCAAGGGCGAGAGGGGGTGTAGCAGTGCACTTAAGTCAATGGCACCGCAGCCACGCCCCCCGCCCTCAGTGCGATCGCCCGCACCAGAACGCGTGGCACATCAGTCCCTGCGTTCCGGTCCAGTACAATCTGCAGAAGCACTATTTTTTGCAGATCGCACTGGACTGGAACGCAGGCAGTGATGTGCCAAGCATCCTGCTGCGGGCGATCGCACTGCCATTGACTTCCAATGCACCACCACGCCCCCTCCTGCCCCTGGATGCGGGAAGCCCGACAGAATGCGATACAGTGAAACGCACTGTTTATGGTGTAAACCGGCCCTCCCAGGTGGACTGCAGGTTCTTGCAGTAACATTTCTGATGGGCAGCCTCACTGGTCATCAGCAATTTACAGGAGAGGACAAGGACTGTGCAAGTTTTAGCACCATCAGGAAGTACTAGAGCTTAGCTTGCCAGTCTAACCCAACAATTTGGCTGTGACAGGGAGGCTGCTGCATGCATTTCATACCTGTAGCAGTTTTGATTTAGTTTTCCCCATGACAGTCTCTTAAAGCTGTCCTTTACCCACGTTTACTTAAAATCCCATCAGCATGCAGCTCTGCATGCTGATATGAAATATTACATTCATTCGTTAAATAAACACATTTATGAGCATTGTCACCAGTCCTAGTCACATGTGCCACAGTTTCAGGAAGTAAAGGAAGATGGATTCATCTGCCCTTTTTTTAATCTGTCAATTTTAAGATAAGGGTTGTTCTTTTAATGTAGCCAGTTACATACACCCTCCTTCATAAAAACTGCACAGTAAAGCTTAAAGCGTATGTCAAAGTACATTTAAACAAAAACATGCAGTAAATGTGTGCAATATATACACATTTCACTATGTTTTTCCCTTTTTAAGACCCTGGAAGTACAAAATAAATGCCCCTTGATCTGCCAGGAAGGCGCCCCTTTCTTAATTTCCTATTGTAGCATGAAAACACGCCGCATTTTTTTTTTTTTAACTGAGCGGTATCAACCCAATTTTTGTTTTTTTTAAACTTCTCGATCCCCAAAGCATAGCCATTAATTGACTTGTAGCCCTAAGCTAAGAATTAGTAGGGCTTCAATTTTGAACACAGGAAGCGTGCAAATGACATAGGACAGGTCTTAATTTGTGACAAGATCTGCACTTCTAAAACAAGTATAAAAAATGCTTTAAATTATCTATTTAGCAGTTTAAAATGGAGCAAATTGGAGAAGTTCATTACTAGTTTCATATACACTTTAAGGTGTTTTAAAGTGGCTAGTTAATATTGTCACCTGTAATAATATTGCCTGGGAGGTAACTTTGCAGGCCCTTTATTCTAATCAAAGCCTTTGTCTTACTATGTTAGGCACATCATCTTCCTTTCTTTTGAAAGATATTTAATTATGATAAATGTGAAATTGAAAGTGACATCTAATTGAAGTCCTCTGAGCAAAAGATAAAAGCAGAATTCAGTTACACACAGTCCCCACCAGCAGGCAGTAAATGTTGGAGCTTTGTTATTTAGTGCAGATTGGCTAAACCTTGCTGGCTTTATGTCACTGATGCTATTTAGCTGGTACAGCAGAGTTGTTTGTGGGAGCATTGGTATTAACACGTGCAGTTTGCTTGATATAACCTTTTTTCTTTTTTACTTCAGCTCGATCATGATTTGAAACACGCCCATGAGTTGCGACAGGCAGCCTTCAAGCTCTACGCCTCCCTGGGAGCCAATGACGAAGACATCCGGAAGAAGGTGAGTCTGGGAGAGGGGCGACCCCCAGTCCTGCCAGCCAGCAGACAGGGTGTGATCCCCACCTGAAAAAAAGTCGCAAGGAAGAGACTTTAACAATGACTGTCTTGTTTAACGCCAGAAGCAGAGACTGTGAGGGTTAACAGAGCAATGAATGAATGAGGCTGTACCTTTTTGGCTTTTTTTTTTCGCCATTAGAAACATAGCATAGCGTGACTGTCAGAGGATGACCAGCACATTGCATTTCATCACTGTCTTCAGCTTTTAACCTTGAGCATTAAGTATGCATGGGTTTGAATTTAGTCTGTAGATGGTCAGGTGTCCAGTGTTCTTAAAGAACTACCAATGGTGTCATAAATGTCCTAAGCTGCTTTTGCAAATAAAACGCCTTTCATTAGCAGCTGGGCCTGCAGACCTGTGTGTTGCATTATCTTCTTTGTCATTGACTCTTCGTTCAACTTTATTGAGAGGTAGATTGTGTGCAGTAGGTTCTAATAGACCAAATGTATTTTGCGTACAGCAATAGAATTACAAAATTGGTTCAGATTCCTTCTCCAGGAGAACACCAAATGGTGCTATATCGTAGGATATATTTTCCTGGATTATGTTCAAAGTCAGGGTGAGTCTAACCTTCTCCCGGTTAATAATAGGTCATGTAATTTCATGTTTTTTTTTTTTTTTTGTAGTTTTTGCATTTCTTTTTTAACTACAAGGCACCTAGCCACTTATTGTGTCAGTACTTTTTCTAATCTTTGCAAATCACATGCAAGATTCAACATCACTGGTGTTGATCAGGTGAGGATTAGGCCTTGTTGGTGTTCCCTGTGCAGAAGTAACCAATGCTGTATGGCAAACATACACTGTCACACAGTGCCATTCAGGGCAAAGCTTTAACCTGCCCTTGGCAGCATATACTTACCTTTTCTTCACCTACCCTCTCATTTCTTCCATGGAGAAAGCTGAAGGAAAGACCTGGTACTTCCGGGTAGTGATTTACCCCATGTGACATACCTGAACCAATCAGCATATACTTCTGTGGAGGTCCTAATTGAACTAAACATATTTGTTTGCCATGCACTTCGTGCATGTTTTGAAACTACAGCATAATGTAAGACACCAATAGGCCATTTAGAATTTTGCAGAGGTGTACAAAGACATTAGATTAGACCGCAAGGTAGCTATGTGTACACTGTAGTAGTGCTTGGTCAATAGCTATTCCTCCCTTGTTATTGTTATCTATGAGTAAATAGATATGCACACTATGTAACACTAGTCTGCATGAAGATCTTGTGAGATTTGGCATGCACACCTGGTTTACCTTTTATCGCTTGCTACCGTAAAGGAATGCATCTTGATTGTTTGGCTACAATTGTCGAATATCTCTGTGTAAGGTTCAACTTCATTTCTAGTTCCTTTTGCTTCCTATTCTCGGTTACAAATTTGTTCCCAATGTCCATTGTCTTCCATTATGTTTTAGGGTATATACAGCCTGTGAATTTTAAGGTGCTAATGGCGAACACAGCAGGTATGCTTTAGTTGCTGTATTAAAGGAGATCTATGAGGTGAGTAATTTCCACTCATCCTCATAGTTAGAGGTGACCTGTGATAAAGAAGCTGTCACAGGTCGGCTCTATTGATCGGGAAGTGAGCAGAAACATGCGCAATCTGCTCACTTCTCGATCCTCCTCCCTGCAGTGACTTGTCAGTCACCGCTGCCCGCAGGGATACCCCCCCCTCCCCTCTCTGATCCTCCAGCGCTGAGTGGAGGAATGGGTGGGGGCGGGCACAGCTGGCTCTGCCTCTAGAGAGGCAGAGCCAGCTGCCACTCACACAGCTGGGTGGATCTCGACAGTAATGTCGGGATCCGTCCCAGCTGCGGCGCTCTCAGTATATCGCAGGAAATAGCTCACTATATACTGAGCTTTGGGTCACGGGGGGACGCTAGTATATGTCCCCCCGTGACCACAAAGAGAACTATAGGGAAAATCTAAAAACTCAATTTATGCAAACTAGGTAGGCGCTTCCCATTATAGATGCAAACAAAAGGCACGCATTCATCAGATATCTGATTTCTTAGAAGGATTTTCACAAATGTGCTATCTATGTATCAGTTCTGATTTAACAGTGATATTTTCCCTGACTAAATTTATACTGACAAATTATTATTTTTAGGAGATTTATACAATTATTTTTCTTCTCTGTAGCATGGATACATTATCCAGTAAGAAAAAGACCTGTTCAGACAGAGAGACTTTAAATCTGCATTATTTAAGATGGATAAGGCAGAATCAGTGAATGATTTATTCCTTGGCAAATGTTATGTGTTTTAATTATATTCACTGAATACTGTGTTGGACACTTCCCATTTCTGCTAAGAGAGAAAGATCAGAGCCCTGCTGCATCACTATTGTACTGTATTTCTTTTGATTGAATTGACTTCTTAAAATCATTTTTACTTAGCAGTTTTTAACAAGGAAACACCTTTGGGATTTAGGTTACATAGGAAGCAGCTGTTCACTAAATTTTGTGTGCTATTTACTTTCAGGGAAGTGACTCTGTGTGTATCAGTGATAAGCAAGGGCTTGGTGCCAACACAGTTTGCCTGATTGGCCTTGGAGGGGGTTGTTCCAGTCAGTTTTGCACATGCTTGGGCGAACTCGGGCAACCTGGGTTCGCACCAAGCCCCTGCTATCACTAGTGTGTAGGTTTAGTGTCTGTGAGATGCAGAACTAATAACTCACAGGTGATGAAGTGCTTCCATTAGAGTAAACTTATACAAGTGGATTCCTAACACAGCAGCTTTAAAGTAAAAGTAGCGTAACATTAAAAAAACGAGCTAGATTGTAGATTTTGAATTAATCCAAAAAGAACAGGAAGTGGCTAAACAAACCTATAACTGTCAGAAAAAACTTGTGTGCCTTCAAGTAGCTCCCACACCTGGGCACATTCGGTACATAGCCCTTACCCTGAGCTCTAGCACTTAGTGGATGTCCCACAGTGCATTAAGGGCTTCACTGAGGCTTTTAGGTCTAGGTTTTTGTATGGAAATTATCTGGGTTCGGGGTCGCCTCTGGCACATAGAGTTTCTAAAACTAAATACACGTGTCTGCACTTAGCGGATTGCATTCCTAAAAATACTGGATAGTGGGACATATGTCTTAACTGATGTAGGGCTGCAACAACTAATCGACATAATCGATTATAATCGATTATTGAAAAAGTTGTCAACTTTTTCAATAATCGATTAATCGGCTTCTGATCAGTTGGCCCTGTTCACGGCTAGAGTGTGAACATTCTAGTAACATAAGAAATATGAGAAATATTAGATGTTTGAAAATGAAGCTGTCCCAGACGTTTTTTTCTATTGATTAGAGAATGTATGGCTTTTCATGGTGTATGTTTATAGTTCTTAGTTGACCAACATGTATGTATGTTTGATCAGAATCAAACACTGTTAGCTTTATAGGGATTGTTTTATATTCTTTATATTTTATATTCTCTTACCAAATTGACCTTGCAATGAAAGTGACCTTGCAACAATGCAATTTACACAGCTCCCTTAGTGATTTAACCTGAGTGAGATGTCTAAATCTGTTACCTATGTCCTTAAAGGAGAACTATGAGGTGAGTGATTGCCACTCATTCTCGTAGTTAGAGCTGACCTGTGACAAAGTAGCTGTCACAGGTCGGCTCTATTGATCGGGAAGTGAGCGAACACATACCGTTGCTCGCTCACTTTCCGATCATCTCCCTGCAGTGAGCGGTGACTGAGGATTCCCCCCCTCCCCTCTGATCCTCCTGTGCTGAGTGGAGGAACGGACGGGGCAGGCACAGCTGGCTCTACCTCTAGATAGGCAGAGCCAGCGGTCACTCACACAGCTGGGTGGATCCAGACAGTTTTGTCGGGATCCGTCCCGGCTATGGCACTCAGTATATCGCGGGCGATAGCCAGCTATATACTGAGCTTTGGGTCATGGAAGGAGGTTAGTATATGTCCTCCCATGACCCTAAAGAGAACTATGGGGAAAAACACTTACCCCATAGTTCTCTTTTACGTTAAGAATCTGGCCTGTCCACTACACTGGCTAATTGTAGATCTACAAACGAGGAATCAGAAAGTTGTATATCTAATATATTTGGCCTGAGGCTACTCTGATATGAGTTTCAGTGTGTACTCCCATACTGAGTATGCTAGAAGTATGGGGACCGTACAGTGGCGACAGCAGCTCTGGAATATAACTATATATTCTTTTGGAATGGAACATTACTTATCTTATATAATGTGATCGTAATGCAAGATCTGCATTATTCATGATGCATATGACACAACAATTTTATATGATTGTCTCAAACAACTCTACAATGCAATTACCTAGTGCTCTCTGCACATACTTTTAGGTGTGCTGTCCAGCTTTCCAGGTGTCTTGAATCCCATATCAGTTTCTAGATTGCTGGAAGGTGGCACAAGGTCAAAATGTTGTTTTTTACAACCTCAGTGGTATCTAGGGCTCAGTAGGCTGCTCTTAATCCGCAAGTACCAGTGAAGTGCTTCTGAAAACTTGCGTAATGTCATAGCGGGTGAAGAAATGGCTCCATTTCTTTTCCTTCATTTCTAGAACATTTTAACAATGAAAGCATTGAAAACTTAAAAGGGGGGAAGAAAGTGCTGGTCTTGGTGTTTCTCATGCAACAGTAGTTAGTGCTAAGAATATGTGTGATCTGACTAACTGGTAGGCAGCCTCTCAGTCTAAAGGATCTCCACGGTATTCTTAGCTCGACAGTGAACTCCGTAGATGTAGTTATTGAAGCTGCCAAAGCCTGAAGTACTCCCATCACAGCTCAATACAACTTTCAAGCTACAGGGATTGTAGTCCATATGCATAATTTCTATCATTAAGCCCTCATGAATGGGGTTTGTTTTGGACCCACGAAACTCATTGGATACTCTACTTGAATGCCCCCTGACTCTAATTGAATAAAGTTGTATCTGGGCTATTTTAATT